GTTTAATAAAGCCAGTTTCTGACACTACTCTGGAAATATTTATGATAAGCTTATTCTGTAAGCATTAATATTATTGTTTACCACTGCATATTTAAAAATAATTTTATTATTTGAATAATAACGAGGTAGTTGGTGAAAATTGAGTAAAACAATAACAAAAAGTAAAAAAATAAAATAAAAAAGTAACCCTATCATTCTTTTATTCAATTATACGTATGGCATAATTAATGATACCGCACGTGAGTGATGTAACAGAAATAGACCACAAATCCGTGAGTGATAAATTTAATAGTTTTATTTTCGATATATTTGAACCTTACCTTATATTTCAACATATATACATATTACGATATGTAATTTAGAGTTATTTTGAAAACTAACGTTTATTCCCCTTTTCTTGCTATGGCAGGGATGATATATTTATTATTTATTTAAGCATAGTCGTATGTATTTGATGTATTTTATATATTTCACTTTAGTTATGCGTAAACAACTGAAATGTTATTTAGTCATAAAGCAAGTTTGTTTATCCAAATGCAGTCTATAAACACACACACTAACTTTAATTATATTTTCTTTTTTTACTCAATTAATAATTATCAATGTATCTTTCTTTATGGAGCCCGGAAAAAATCCTAAGCTGGCCTTGGGCCACTCCCATTGAAATCCTGGAGGATTTACAAACTCGAATTTGTTTTGCAACTTAGACATTACTGGCTCTCGCAGTTGTGGGCATTAGCTTATTACAGTTATATTTTTCTTGACGATATTTTAATTTCAATAATTGACACTTTATATTATCCTATGGAAGTTCGAATAGGATCCGAAAGCAACAATTTTTGTTGGAGCCAGACTTTCTTTCATTTCTGAGAGGGTTATTTAGCGAGTTGCCTGTCGCGCTGCTCCAATGCGTGCTGGCGGATTTCATAAGTCGTTGAAATGTTTTTATTCAGACACACAGGTTTGAAGCATTTAAAACTGTAATGAAAATTTCATTGGTGTCGGCGTTGTCCGGGTTGTATGCATAATGATAAATTTACAGCCCCTCAGCTACTATGGCTCTTTTTATATTTATATGTATTTATAACAATGTTCTTCAGTATAACAATGTCTAGGTTAGTCAACGGAGACTAGCCATCTGCTCAGGAAAGCAGTGTGTGCGCTGAAGGAGTGTGTGCGCGTGCATACCGAGGTAAGGAGGTAAAACACCGCTAAGTTTCTGTATCCGGGCTGCTACTGAAAATTTCTTGAAACGAAAACCTAATAAATGATTTTAGTCCGACTGGGTTTTCGAATCTGGGATCACATGATTAGCAACAAATGGCATGACATGATCAACCGGTAAAATTTAATGCTATGCGGACGACAGCACTGGTGTTGCTTTATACACCGACCATATTTCTCCGGATAACGTCGCCGAGTACCGGAACAAACTTATGTCAGAAGCGAAGACTTTTTTTAACAAAGTCTCGCATTGGAGTAGACTAAATCTAGTCCAGTTTAATCCACAGAAGTTAAGTTATCGCTAAAAAGAACTCCTTTGTTGTATCTCCTCAGTTTCAGGGCACTCCCCTTATTGCCTCAGACAGTATCGGAATCCTCGGTGTCGACATATTAGAAAAGAAGGTCAAATTGGCTTTAAAAAATCTTGGCGTGCTCAGCAGAGCGGGTCAGTAATTCATGTCGGCACACCAACTTTAGGTTTGGCCTCACATGGAATATTTTCTGGGCCGGGGATCCCAAGTGCCAGCTCCTTCCATTTGATCGCATCCAGCGTAGAGCGGTTCCAATCGTCAACGACCGACCTCTTTCAGATCGGCTTGACTCACTGGCGCTGCGAAGAGATCTTTGCGTATTCTATCGTACCTACCACGGGGTGTGCTCAAAAGATTTTTTCGAACTAATTCCAGCCGCTCAATTTTACCATCGCACATCGCGACAAAATTCGAGATATATCTCCATACCATCTGGATGATTGGCGGTGCACCACTCTGCAATTTACAAGAAGTTTTTCGCACAACTTCCTTGTGGAATCGACTTCTCGACCAATACTGCTTAGGGACCTTGAAGAAAAGGGTCTACTCTTTTTTAAAAGGCGGCATCGCATCTGCAATTCCTCTAGTGTTCATGGGCGGCGGTAATCACTTAACATCATGTGAGCTATACGCTCATTTGCCCCATCTTCTATAAAAAAAAGAAACACTTATTATTAGTAGACCAAAGGGGCAGTTGACATATTATTATAGTAGTATTAATGGGAAGTCTATAAATGTACAACACCAGAATATGACTGCCTAATTGTTACAGTCACAAATGAACGTAGGTTTGTTTACCCAAAATGGCGTGTGAGTGGGCATTAATGCATGCATAAACACATTTAGAAATGGAGTTACGATTACGCATCGTTTATTTGTGTTCCGTATGGATTATATGAGGACCGTTATATGAAAATTTTTGTTTCATTTATAATTGAAAATTTGTTACCATTATCTTTATCATCATCATCGTCATTATCACAGCCTTCCACAAGTCCGTGGCTGAACATATGACTCTTCCAAGGAACGCAACAAAGCACAGTCTTGAGCCTCCTGCATCCATTCAACTCCTGTATCTATCTCATTTTTAAGTTTATCACGCAGAAAAACCCTGAGCGTAGCCCTATCCATAGCTCCTTGGGCTTCCTCATACGACCAGCAGTGAAGGATCACGTCACATATCATTGGCATTACGCACTGGTTGTACAATTTCTTTTTTAAGTTACGAGGCATACCTGACGAGAATGTGTCGTAAATTCATTCCAACGGAGTTGAATCCGTCGACTGACCTCTCGCTCGAAGTTGGACTTACTTAGTCGGACTAGTTGTCCCAGGTAAACATACTCGTCAACAACTTCGAGCTTAGTACTCCTGACAACTACCGGCATAGGTGTGATATGGATGTTACGCATTATCTGTGTTTTGTCCATGTTCATCTTAATACCTATTCGTTGGGAGGCACTATTGAGGTCATTGAACATAGTGCTTAGGTCCTCCAACGATGCTGCCATAAGGACTATATCGTCAGCAATTGGACGGTGGGTGATTTACTTGCCAATGACGTTAATACCGTATCATTTCCAGTCCAGAAGCTTGAAAAGGTCTTCCGATTCAGCGGTGAAGAGTTTCGAGGATATAACGTCACCCCGTCTTACACCGCTCTGCAGTTGAATAGGTTTTGTTCTCTGGTTCTGTAGTCGGATAGCCACCGTAGCTCTATTGTATACACACTTCAGCACGTCGATATACCGACAGTCAACTTTGCATCGATGAAGGGACTATAGCACCGCCCAAACTTCGACGGAATCAAAGGCTATCTCATAGTCCACTTACGCCAGATAAAGTGGCAGATTGTACTCTTCGGTCTTCCGTATAATTTGCCGAAGGGTCTATGGTGGTAAAACCTTTTCGGAAACCAGCCTATTCGGGAGGCTGGAAGTCGTCGAATCTGCGCGTGAGATGATTCGTAATGAAATTAATAGAATCAGGCGTTACTTTGCGGAAATCCATTATATAAAAGCTTTTAGAAAAATTTACGTCGCAAATATACGCGTTATAAAATAAAATGACTTAGCGGTGAGCCACCGTAGAGTCTATATCACCTGAAGATGCCTCGTGTAGAGGCGAAACACGTGTCGTATTATCGTCAGTGGTGTGTCTTGCATAGTGTAGTAGTGTTGGAAGTAGCGGTGCTGGGATTAGTGGTGACTGGGATAGTGCACGCAATTGAGGGAGGGCGGGAGGTGCTCTTCATACTAGACACATTATTTTATTTTATAACGCGGATATTTACGAAGTAAATTTTTCTAAAAGCTTTTAGATTCGTAATGACTCTCGAAAACAGCACGAACGCGCACGATTCATAAGGGAAATCGGTCTGTAGTTGTAGTGTAGTGGTCTTGTTCTTCAAGAAAGGCGTTGTCGCCTTTCTTGAAGAACAAGACCACTACACTTCTGTTCTACGCGTCCGGTGTTTTGAGAGTTTCTGAAGGACTTCAAGAACCGGTTTTCCACTCGCTTTCAGAATCTGCGCTGTAATTCAATCCTTGCCCGAGGACTTACCGTTTTTAAGGTGCTGGAGAGCCATTCTAATCTTGCTCAGACTCATGTCCAGGATATCATCGAAATAGTGTCGGATAAGACTTGCTCTTGGATCGTTACACACACTTAAGTGTGGCTCCAACGTTGATGTCTACAGCTGCCCATAGAACTTCTCAATCTCACTAAAAATCTCAGGTGTCTCGAAAACGATGTTGCCACACTCGGTCTTTAGCCTCGACAGTTGGCACTTTCTGGCAGACAGATCTCTGGCAAAGACTTTGGAGTCCTAGTTACGCATAATAGCTTCTGCAATACGATATGTATTGAAGTTGCGTAAGTCACGTCGCATGCATTTGAAGATCTGTCTGTTCAGTTGCCTGCAGCTTCATTTCCCGCCTGACAGATATGAGATTAAGGGTGTGATCGGATATTTTCGTATTCTTCTGCGGCAGATCTTGCAGTACTTAACTCCACTGAAAGCGATTTCGTAACTCGAGCTGAAAGGTTTCGGGACTTTGAATTAGAGCGCGAGATGGACGGAGCATTGACTTCATTAGACGAGACCTTTCCAACTACACGTCATAATGAAGTCCTATAGTCGTCATAATAAAGTCAATCTTATTTCTTGACGAACCGACGGGGCGTGACCAGATCCACTTCCTGTAGGGGCCGCTTCTGAAAGAAATAGTTTATCATAAAGAGTCTCTCTTTCTCCATGAAGTCGGCTAATAAAAAAATTTATTTAAAGCATCTAAATTACTTATAGCGGTGACATCATTTATTTTTATTTTATCTTAAAAATTGTAAGACATCTATTCTTGATCAAAAATCAAAATACAGATGCATTGTCACCCATGAAGATTAAAGCCCCGTTTTCAGTAAAAAGGGCCTCCGGAAACATTCACCAAACGAGACACAGCAGTATTAACCTGCTATTTTACGCTGGCATTCTGTGAGAGGGTGGTCCTTTCCTGGGGGAGTCGGCCCATTTCTAGTTTCTAGTTTGTAGTTGACTCTCTGTTTGGTGTTTCTGCAGAGTTGAATGAACTGTAGAACACGTGCGGTTGAGTATCGGAGTCGGTCCCAGTTGGAGAACTTCGCTGGATCAGGTAGACCTTCGGCAAGCCTCAATCTTCTTTTGTTGCTCACGTAATGTGTCCTTTCTTCGTCGGAAGGTTCTTCCGCTGTTGCTCTTGTGGTTTCTGTCGGCCAGAAGTCTTCTGTTAGGTATAAGAAGTCAGGCCCTTTGAACCATCGATGTTCTTTATTAAATGCTGCTGGTACGTCTCGTGTGGCGTCGTCCGCCACGTTCAGCTTTGTCGGAACCCAGCGCCAGTCGTTAACTTTGGAACTCTCTTCTATTGCTGCTAGACGGTGAGCCACGTAGGGCTTATATGAACGTGACCCTGTCCTTATCCAGGTTAGTACTGTCTTGCTGTCTGTCCAGAATACTTTGCGGTCAGGTTTCCTCTCGTGTTCTTCGACTACTGTTTCTGCGAGCCTGGTGCCCATGACTGCTGCCTGTAGCTCCAATCTTGGGATGGACGTCAGTTTTAACGGTGCCACCTTTGCTTTCGCCACAATAAGGGATAGGTGGACCTCGCCTACTGCTGTTACAGCTCTCCAAAAGAGGACCGCCGAATAAGCTGACTCGCTGGCATCGCTGAAGATGTGGAGTTCTAGGGAGGCCGCGTCACTGTAGTGAAGATATTGTCGCGGGATTGCTATTTCGTGGAGGCCTTCCAGATGCTCCATCCACATTTTCCACTGCTCTGCCAGGTCTTCGTCGATCTTGTCGTCCCATGCTGTTCCTCTACGCCAGACTTCCTGGAGGAGTTGTTTTGCCCTGATGGTGATAGGCGAGGCGAATCCGAGCGGGTCGAAGAGCGACATCACTATTCTCAGTGCTTCCCTTTTCGTCGGCTGCTTCCCTTCTAGGAGTGTTGAGGGTATTCTGGCTAAGTTGAGGTTGAAGGTGAGTTCGTCCGAGTGGATCTTCCAAACAACACCCAGAACTCGTTCCATCTTTTCTTCTGTTTTGTAGAGTTCCATGTCTTCTGTCTGGCTGTCTTCTCCAAGTGTTTCTAGGAGTGATGCTGAGTTTGATTTCCACTGTTTCAACTCGAAGCTGGCTTTCATGTGCACGGCTCGTACACTCTTCGTGATGCGTTTGGCATCTTCGAGGGTTCTGAAGCTGTCCAAGTAGTCGTCGACGTAATGCTTCATTATGATGGCCGCTGCGGCTTCTGGGTGAGTTTCCCCGTGCTGTTTGGCGTTTAGGTTCTTGACGTATATTGCTGTCGAAGGCGAACTCGATGCTCCGAAAATTAATGATGTCATTCTGTACTCTTCCGGAGGTTGGTTGTCTCGTCGAATCCCACGCCATAGGTACCGCAGTGCGTCCCTGTCTTGTTCTCGCAACTTGACTTGCATGAACATCTCTTTGATGTCCGCCGTAACCGCGATGATGTGTTGTCGGAAGCGCATGACGACACCTGGTAGCGATTGTAGTAGGTCGGGCCCTTTGAGTAGCATGTCATTAAGTGCCACTCCTTTGGTCTTGGCTGCGGCATCGTGTACCACCCGTAATTTCTCCGGTTTCATTGGGTTGACTACTGCAAAGTGAGGTAGGTACCAAGTTTTGTCAGCTGTCTTCTGTTTTGGGGCGGGTTCGGCGTACCCCTTTGCGACGAGAGCGTTCATTTGTTCCACGTATTTCTTCTTTAACGTGGGGTCACGATCGATCTTCTTTTCTATGTTGAAGAGCCTCTTCAGTGAGTTTTCGTAATTGTCTGGTAACTTGACATCGTCTTTGCGCCAGAGAAGACCGGTCTGGAATCTTCCTTCTTCTGTCTTCGTTGTGGTCCTTTCCAAGATACGAAGTGCTTGTTCTTCTGGATCAGTCTTCGGTCTCTTGGGCTTTATACAAAGTGCGTCCATCTCGAAGTATCGCTTCACGAGGTCTTCTAGATTCTCCTCTGGATCTTCTACGATGTGTGATACGAAATCGATGTTCCGTCCGAAGCTTCGTGTCTGGCTGCCGTGGAGTACCCAACCTAGTGGCGTGAGAGATGCCACTGGGTGGTTCTTCTCTCCTTTTCTTACTTCCGATGTCAGCAGAAGATGCCAGTTATCTTGTCCGATCAGCACTCGTGGCTTGGCGTTTGCATATGTGAGATGTCCTTGGATATCAGAGAGGTGTTGACACTCCTCCACTAGATCCTGTGGGACCCGTTGAGATGAGACTTGCAGGTTCTTCACTGTGCGTGCTTGTATTTGTTCTTCATGATCGTTGAGCCCCTTTAGTTTGATGGTGACTCTCCTCGATGCTGACTCCGATACTTTCTTGTCGTTGATGGTTTCTATCTTCAGTGGGTCTATGGGGCCCGTTGCTCCGACGCTTGTTACTATACTATCGTCGACGAGCGTGACTGTTGAGCCGTCGTCCATCAACGCGACGGTGTTGACAGCTCCTTTTGGTCCTTTGACCTGGATCGGTAGGATTTTTAAATATGATTGCTTCTTGACGGTCCAGGTTGAGTTGATGACCTCTGTTGCCCCTTGATTTTCTTTTGCTTCTGAATCTTCTGACTTCTTTTCGTAATGCAGCATCTTGTGGTGAGAGTACTTGCAGCTGTTGACATTACATGGCTTGGGTCGGCAGTGGTGTGTCTTGTTCCTATAGCGAAGACACCTGAAGCAGAGGCGCTTGGACTTGGCCATGTCCCATCTTGCATTTGCATCTAACTTCTTGAATTGTTCACATTCTGTGGCGTTGGTGTGCCCCGTATCTTCACATACGACGCATCTTGGTATGTATGTCTTCTCAGTCACGTTGTTGATCCTTTGAGTCTTCCTTTGTGGTGCGGCTGTAATAGGCGGTGTCATCTGTTCGGGCAGCGCGTAGGGTCCACACAGTTCTGCTTCCCTTTTGAAGAACTTCTCTATCTTGATGAGGCAAGGGTCTTCACGTGGCTGCATGGCTGAGAAGTCGTAGTACCTATAACGCAGAGTTGGCGTCAGTTTGTCTACTATTGTCTTCGCGAGTTCAGGATTGTACATGTAGTTAAAACAACCCAAAGTCTTCAGTGTCGCCACTACGTTGGAGATCTTGGTGGCGAATATGCATATGTCTCTTGGTGACTCAGTAAGGCGCGGCAGACCTCTAAGCGTCTCCATCTCCAGCATGGCTATTGACTCTGGTCTTCCAAATCTTGACTCCAAAGTCTTCATTACTTCAGCCGGGTGTGCGTTGGTCATAAGTAGGCCTTCAACTGCTTCCTTGGCCTTCCCTTTCAAGTTTCTTCTGAGTCGATTCGTATTTTCAACTACGCTGAATGTCGCTTCTGTCTCGTAGTAGGCGGCGCGAAAGGGTAGCCATTCCTGATGAGACCCGCTGAAGAATGGTAACTCGACGAACTTAGGTCGTTGGGCGGCGCTGACAGCCCGAGTGATGGCTTCAGCCAGGAGGGCTACGTCAGTTTGACCTCCCGCCGGTGACTGATGTGTTTCTTCGTGCCTTGGTTCTTCTACGTGGGCGGCTGTTGGTTCTTCTATGGCATGGTGAGGTTCGTTGGTGATTGCTAACACCGGGCGATTCACTTGATTCTCCAACCAGTCGTCCACTCTTGTATTGACTTCTGATCTTGAGTAGAGGGATGCGTCATCTTCTTCTTCCTCCTCCTCTTCTGAGTCTTCCCTTTCTAAGGCAGCAAGGCGTGCTGCGGCTAATTCCACTTGAAGGCGTAGTAAATCTTCTTTCGCCTTTGCAAGCTTGAGCTGCTTCGTTCTACTGCGTGTAGATCCCCCTCCACCTCCCTTCTTGCTGGGCGGGCGGGGTTCCTGTAGCCCGGTTTGCTTTGATGGACCGGCGATGCTTCTTATGGCTCGCTTCACTGTAGAAGTTTCTGTTTCTCGGTGAGTTGCTCTGGTGACAGTAGCGGGCGGCTTCATCAGCTGTTTGGCCTTCGCACCCGCAGTTAGTGTCGTCGCCGCGGATGGTGTTACGGAAGGAGCGACGGCGCTGGCGGGGTGCGTGGCGGGGGCGGCGGTTGCGGCTGAGGCTGAGGTGGCGGCGGACGAAGTGGTCGCTGCGGTGGCGGAAGTCACGGTGGATGGATCAGTCGCCGCGGAGGTGTCTGTATACTCCGAAGTCTCCGTGGCGGTCGTCCCTGTAGCTGTTGATTCCGTACTGGCTTCCGCACTGGTGGTACCGGTCGCCGAGGTGGTAGCCTTGGACGACGACGGCTTGCTGCCCCTTCCCTCAGAGCGCGTAACGGCCATGCTGTCAGCTGACTTTTTCTTCGAATAATCTTGAGTCTTGAAAAACGATTTCCGAGGAGTCTTCTTAATTATTTTTCTTCAGGTAATTATTCCCCACAAGATTCGGCTGGCGAAGGACCATTAAATGTGCCCTACAGGCACATTTGTGTGCTGGATTGGTGGAGAATAAAACCGCTGCGATATTTTTCTTTCTTCTATATTTGGTGTTTTCCTTGAGGTAGCTGGCCGCCGACTGTGTCGAACGACGAAAATCGCCCCTCTTTTATACCGCCTCGGGCTGGGTCAATGGATACGGCCGACGCATCGTACAAATGGCGTCGACCAATCAGCGCGAGGCGTGACAGAGCAAGTGACGATGCTGAGTCCCGTTACATTGTTTGTCTTAAGCTAGTTCTATATCTTACTGAGTCATTGTTTACATTGTTTACCTTAAGCTAGTTCTGTTATACAAAGTGACCAACTAATTTTATTACACAAATATAAGCTCTACACTATTATTTTCTTAACATAAAATGCTTATATCCTATCTAAACTATAATCTCTATTAATATAAATGTTTATCCTATCTAAGTACAAACTAACTATAATATTTATTCCATTAATATAAATGTTTTTGTCTTATTTATGTATCACTATTTGTTTTTCTCTTGTCCCGCACACAACATTTATTTTTTATAAAATAAAAGGGGGAAACGAGCATGTCGTTCACCTGATGGTAAGTGATTACCGCCGATCATGAACAACTGCAACACCAGGGGAATCGCAGGTGCGTTCCGCTGTTCCTTTAAAAAAAGCAGGCTTTTTCTTGACAGTCCCTAAGTTGTATCGGTATGGTCCACAAAGAAGTTGTGCGAGGAGACAAACAAGTATACGACTCATGTGATAGTAGGTAATCACCATCGCTCATGAAAATCTGCAACACCAGGGGAATTGCTGGTGTGTTGCCAGCGTTTTAGAAAGGAGTCGGAGAAGTCTTTCCGCCCCGGAAAAACCGCAGGTGAAATTCCACAGTTTGGTCGGGTGTAGTAGAAAATTTCGCGTAAATCGCTCGGTAATAGACCACCAACCGCCGAGACGATGAGGATGGAGTATTGAGGTTTGTCAGAGTATACAATGGTGAAATTAACCCGAACAATTTCTATAAGCACTTCTCGTGGTATATGCAAAAGAAGATGCACAGAGATGCAATTTCTCTTCGTTAAGACGCTGCCTCTGGCGTTGTATTTTTTTCCCCTCTTTATACTTTTCTTCCCTCTTTTCTTCCCTCTCTTCTTCCCTCTTTTCTTCCCTCTTTTCTTCCCTCTTTTCTTCCCTCTCTTCTTCCCTCTTTTCTTCCCTCTTTTCTTCCCTCTTTTCTTCCCTTTATACGTGGTAGAGCCATGCTGCAGCTATTAGTAGTATAGTTGTAGCAGGAATGGGTCGGCTCGACCGGGGAACGACCACGCTCTCACAGAATACCAACGTAAAATAGCAGCTTAACGCTGTTTTGTTTCGTATAGGGAGTGTAAATAAACGGAGACCCTTTTTACTGGAAACGAGGCATCATGTTAGTTCTCAGGGGTGATAACACATCTGTATTTTGATACCTAATCTAAGATAGATGTAGATGCCTATGGGCAACAGTAACCACTTACCATCAGGTGGACTGTGTGCTCATTTGTCACCCTTATCCTATAAAAAAAGTTTATGGATATGGAATAGAGTAAATGTATGTAAATGTGTAAAAATCGCCTAGGTAAAAATATTTACTTAAAATATTTAACAGTACTATAATTTTTTTAAATAAATATTCTCAAATGTAAAAAAAGAAATAAGTGCTATCTACGAGTACGTGTTTCGAGAGAGTTACTTGAAAAATATTGCCTAATAAGTGATATACCATACAATTTTATATATAACAATTGTGAATTTTTTCTAAAAAAACTGTTTCAACTTGACAAAGAATAATTGTATTATGTATATAATTACTCTAAGAGAGTATACTCGTATAAGTGAATAGTTAAAGCTGTTTGACATCTAGTAAAAAAAAAAAAAAGCTCTTGAATAAGCATTGTTGCAGTAAATAAAATAAAGATATTTAGTGGCACGATAACCTGTTGCATACTGAATTTATTTCGTTCCTGATGTATTGAAAATGTTGTGTAATATCTGTGATGCAGTACCGACTTTTAATAGACTTCGCACTAAAGTAACGCGGTGGCACAGGCCTCCTATCATTTGGAGGCCTGTGCCACGATTGCCACGATCCACATGCCACGATCGTGTGCCACACGATTAGGGGGTTGTGGAGCGATTAGTTCACAGCTCTACACCAGTGGGTGTTGGCAGGCTTTTCCTTGCGACGTTTTACTTCACCGTCATGCACATTTTAAATCAACACTAAAAATTATAATTATCGATTTTATTGGTGCCACGGTACATAAGTAGTAATCAAAAACTGAAGTAGACATGAATTGATATAAATTAAATTTGAGCAATGTAAAAAAATATCAATTATTACTCGTTTCTGAATGGAAGAAGAATATATTTTTTTAAATGAATTCCATGAGACAATTTTGTTACATAACTTTAAATTAATTTGTCGTTATTCATACAGCCTTTTATCTGGTAAGCGCAGGTGGCCCGCCTACGTCTGAAAACACATTTGCACAAGGAAGTGACCTAAAACTTATTCCCCTACTGTTTATTAAAACTGATTTTTTTTTTAATTCTGACAGGAATCTAGAAAGAGTGTACAGAAGACTGAAGAATATTATATGCCGCTATGTTTGGCGTATGTGCATTATGAAAATGACTTCGAATTAGGTTAAGTTTGGGCGATTTTACAGTCCACTCTGCGATGTCAAGTTGACAGTTAGTACTTCGAAGTGCTGAAATGCTTTTATAGTATCGCTACGACGTCACTTCGATTACATATTAGTGCAAGAAACCTATCCAACTGCACAAAGGTATATTTCAGGGAGACATTATATCCCCGAAACTCTTCAAAACTGCAATGGACGACCTTTGATTTGTCGACGACGTACTCATTATTGCAAAATCCCTGGATAACTTTAGTATACTATGCTTAATGCCGTCAGTTGTATTTCCCAACGGATAGGTCTTAAGATGAACATGGACAAGACAACAATTATATCTAATGTCCAATTTGAAATGCTTTTAGCCAGAGAATCGTTGAATCATCAGATTACCAAAAGCTTACGTTAATTGCTTATAACATTGTTGTGACTTATATCAGAAAAAAAATTTGTATTCAGACAGAAATAATTGTTTGCCGCGAACGTTTATCTATTTCTATCTTGGCCTTGATAGTATAAATGGGTCAAGTTGTTGCACACTACACAATTGAAAACGTCCCGTTGAATGATTAACTATGTTAAAGAAAATTCAACATAAAGACAAGACAAAGGCTGACATATCTTTTGTCTCTTAATCAATTAGATATTCTCATGTTGCCTATTATATACTGTTTTTAATTAAAAATGTATATGGTATACAAGGATAACATTAAAACTAACATGTATGACATAAGTAAATTTTAATGCAGGAAATACGGCGGAAACCATATATTAGTTGATAGTCCAAGAGCTGGCGACGAAATCAGGGAATGTCCTTTGGGCAAGTTGACATTGTGAAAAAATATAATTTCGTCAATTTGCGAATCCAGTACCGCGAGTCTGGCATTAAATATATATATATATATATATATATATATATATATATATATATATATATATATATATATATATATACATATATATATTTAATGCCAGATATATAGATATATCTGGAATATAACATTTGCAAGGTTATAAAGTATTACCAGACCGCTCCAAAAATATTTTAATAAAATTTCCATAAAATATACTTTTGGCAATCTCAAATTTTGATCACGTATTTATTGATTAATTTTAATAATACCTGCAAATCGTCAGACAAATTTAGCGGTTTTAAACAATTCCCAGCCATGAATGAAGTTTACAAATGAATATGACAAAAAAGTCTTATGCGCAGCCATAAGTACGAAAAAGATATTTATCTTATCGCGGCATGCCGGTAGCTGACGGGAGCCCAAGCTCGTCGCGCTATGATTGGTTATTGAGAAACCGCGTGTTTCCAGTATAATTCCGGCACATCAGAGTATTTTGTGTGGGAGCAATGACAACATCGTGAAAAATTATCTAGTATTTTTATATCTTTTCTTATATCTTTTTTTAAATATTTTAATATTAAATTCTTGTTTTGGGATTTAGCATGTATGTATACGCATATATGACCATGTAAATATCTGTGTATATAGTTTGAATTGTTTTACAGATATAAAAGTACTTTTTGTGGTTGAAACATCCATTAGTAGCTATAACAAATTAGCATTGTAACTCTAAAAATGTGTTTTTTAATAAAGTTGGAGTAACAAACGCACCTACAGTTCACCAGATAGTAAGTAGTTACTACAGCACTAGGCAGCTAGGAAGTACTTCTTTTTACTTATGGTGTATATAAGAAGTATGACAATATCATTGCTTGATATATATGACAATATTATTGGTTGGTATAGACCTTATTAAGCGGCAGTAGCTGAATAAATACAACATTGAATGGCTTGTCCATTACGCTGGGTAGCACTAACTTGACGCACGGACTTTTTTCAAAGTGCTAATTATCACGTGTTGCACCCTGCTAATTACAAATCACGGCTCGGTTGACTAACAAACGGATTATGTGCCACGAGATGGAGTGAGGTGGCGGAATCTCAGATACTGCAACCACATCGCGAGTCATCTCTTATAAGTTAATAGACGTCCGTGCAATGGGTTTGGTACAAATTCCATTTGTATCGAAAATGACAACAGTTAGATAAAATAACGGCATGTAGTGGCAGCGTAAGAGAATTCACCCCATATTGGCCATTACAGTGGGTGTCGGTGAGAGGTGGCAAAGGGATTTGAAACAGGAGACAGGGAGCAGCATCTTACTGGTCCCATATCGTCTCATGGGTG